TTTACGATTAATGGCGGATTCTGCTTAACCCCTTCTTTCGCAGAGTTATTCACATTTGCAACAGATATGAGCAACAGTCAGCTGCGGCAGCAACGCACACACACACAGAGAAACACGATTATTCGCTTTTTGTTATGACGCGTTATATTACCATCTGGTTAATGAGAGAAGGGGTTAGCGTTTATTAGATGACAAACATGAAAAAAATGGACGTAGCACCTCGACCCACGCTTCTACTACTCATCTAGTAATGGCACGGTTGGGGGGAGGGCACAGCATATTAAAAAAAAATCACTAGTACATTGATCAGACAAGAATTAACTATCATTCTACAAATTTCTACTGGCTGCTAACCAACTCTACAGACACTACATACAATAATGTGAAACTGTACACATCAAGTCAAACAAACTAAAGTGCAAAAGAAAATCGAGTGCTAACTAAACTCAGGGGGGGTTGGTGGAAAGAAGCCCATGCTTCTGCCAGACGTCATGACGCATGAGGTGGTCAGGTCGGAGACATGGTTGGTGGGGAGATGTGTGAGATCTTGGTGGGTAGGGGAGAACTGGGGAAGGAGGGCAAGGCAAGGACAAGGTCAGAGACAAAGTCAAAGACAAGGCAAGGACAAGGTCAAAGACAAAGTCAAGAACAATGTCAAAGACAAGGCAAGGACAAGGTCAAAGACAAAGTTAAGGACAATGTCAAAGACAAGGCAAGGAAAAGGTCAAAGACAAAGTCAAGGGCAATGTCAAAAACAAAGCAAACAACAAGGTCAAAGACAAGGCGAGGACAAGGTCAAAGACAAGGCAAGGACAAGGTCAAGGACAAGACAAGGACGAGGTCAAAGACAAGGCAAGGACAGAGTCAAGTATGAATGGAATGATCATATAAGGACAACATGGCATCACCTGGGAGGTAAGGAAATGAAAGACATGGGCGGATGTGGTCGAGCGGTCAGAGTCACCCGGGCAGGCACATGGGAGGCAACCGACACACTGGCAGCATCAGAGGCGTATACACAGTAGATACAAGCAGTAAGTGGTTTCTCTACTGTACATCACATAACCTTCAAGTCGACAGCTCTAGGGCAGAAAGCAGCAGCGATGTGCTGCTGCACACAGCAGCGCACGTTAGGACTCGCCCCGGGAACACGTATTCGCGCGGCAGGAGGCCATTCCGCGTTCATCGGTTGCCACCGGTTACCACCGGTCACCGCCATTGTTTATTGTTACGTCACGCGTCGAACGCGCGCGGACGGGCCGCCTCCGCGCGAATACCCCCCGGGGCTGCGTGAATAGAGCGCCATCTATAGGCAAAAATTATGATTAAACCAAGCAGGTGCTGGCAGGAGAATTAACCTCCACAACCTTCAACACACATGTACAAAAACAAGAAGGGAGTAACAAGTTAGTTAGTCATATAACCGCTACAATGTGCTACAAAAATACTGAGTCTACAGTCATCATAACAAAGAGCTTGTATTAATAAATCGGTTAAAGAGAAGTAAAATCTTCAAATAAGTCTCAAAATTTCGGGGCGAAAAAATCGTCGTAAATGAAACTCATCATTTATTATATATAATTATATATCTATCTATCAATCAACCGATCATTTTGCAATCCAAGTTCATTATCAAGTTTCGCAAAATAATACATTCAACACTATTTCGAGGATCAAGCAAACACTCTATACAAACTAAATTTCAACAGATTACTGGCTCAAGCTTATATGATATAGCAGGCCTAGGGTATCGAGCTAACATCCCGATCCGGGGCCCAGTGATTCCCTGACGTTTCCTCTGTTAACTCACTCACTCACTCACGCACTTCCTTGCTCGCTCTCTCACTCTCTCACTCACTTCCTTGCTCACTCACTCACTCACTCAGTTCCTTGCTCGCTCACTCTCTCACTCTCTCACTCACTTCCTTGCTTGCTCACTCACTCACTCACTCACTCACTCACTCGCTCACTCACTTCCTTGGTCACTCACTTCCTTGCTCACTCACTCACTCACTCTCTCACTCACTCCCACTCACTTGCTCCCCGCTCACTCTCGCACTCACTCTCACTCACTTCCTTGCTTGCTTACTCACTCACTCACTCGCTCACTCTCTCACTCTCTCACTCACTTCCTTGCTCCCCCGCTCACTCTCACACTCACTCTCACTCACTTCCTTGCTTGCTTACTCACTCGCTCACTCTCTCACTCTCTCACTCACTCACTCACTCGCTCACTCTCTCACTCCCTCCCTCACTCACTTCCTTGCTTACTCAGTCGCTCACTCTCTCACTCACTCACTCGCTCACTCTCTCACTCACTCACTCGCTCACTCTCTCACTCACTTCCTTGCTCGCTCACTCACTCACTCACCCGTCACTCACTCATTCACGCTCGCTCACACGCGGACGCACAGTTTCGACAGCAAACATTTACCGTGTGGTTTTACAACAGCACTGATATAACTGCGGCCATCATCGTCGCCATTATCAGCTCGAGCGCGGGGCGGGGAGCGTCGTGCGTAAATATGCTCCCCGCCCGCTTTCCTATTGTCCTACACACAAAATGGCCGCCGGACATCCGCTCGAAAAAACTCCCTCCCCCCTCATTCCGCCGCCGTCGCCGCCGCTCACGACGACGCGCACCTTTTGATTTCTCTCGTTCTCGCGAGATCTCGCGAGATCTCGCGGGACGTGACGCGCCCGCGCTCTCAGCACTGCGCTGCGTAGATAGCCTGTATCATATCGAAGGGGCTCTGAAAGCTCTGTCCCATGCCCATCATGTTGTAGGAGGCAGGCACGAGCGGCGGCGGCTGCGACGCCACCAGGGGGCTCTGCGTCATGCCCTGCGCGGCGAGGAGGCTCGCGTACTGACTCGGCGCGTACTGACTCGCCGCGTACTGACTCGGCGCGCCCGGCAACAGCGGCGCCCCCCCGCCGGCGGCGGCGGCGGCGACCATGTTCTGATACGGCATGGGAATCTGAATCTGATAGGGATTGATTCGGGTTGCGGTCGCGTGCGGTCGCACCATCTTTTGTCCCCTTCTGAGGTCTTCCTTTGCGGAAAGGTGCGCTACAGCGGGGTATTGGACACTTGGCAGGTCTGCGGTCTGCGTGAGACTTGTCATGTCTGTAAATAGAATGCCTGGCGGTTGCACATTCGGGTGGCGGGGGCGGGGGCAGGGGCAGGGGGGGGCGGCGTAACAAGTACGACCCTCTCAGAATGCTCTCTTGTCTGCTCTCGCTCGACCGATTGCTCTCACGCGCTCCCGAGTATCCAACGGCGACGGACCTGCGACCTCCGACCTCACGGCGCAACGTCAACAAGTAAACGTCCTCGCGACCTCACCCCGGCGCCGCGCCGGGCGCCCGGGGAAAAACAAGTGAACGGCCCTCCGAGTGAACGACAGCAGAGACGAGTGAACAAAGCTGGTCAGAGAATAACGAGGAAGGTCAAGGGTCAAGGGGGGGTGGCGTGACGTGTGAGACTTCGAAAGAATGTCGACTAGAGTTGTTGTTGTTTGTGTTGATGCTGTTGTTAATGTGTTAGTTGTTGTTGTTGTTGTTGTTGTTGTAGTTGTAGTTGTTGTTGTTGTTGTTGTTGTTGTTGTTGTTGTTGTTGCGGTCGTCGTCATCTATTTTTGATGTTGAGAATGCTGATGTTGTTGTCATTGCTGCTGTTCGAATCTATTGTTGATGGCGATGTTGTTGTTGTTGTCACTACTATTGATGCTGGTGTTGGTTATTCAAACAGAACACCTAAACTGTACTCGCATGCAACAAGTGAACATTAACCATTATTATTATTGTTATTATTATTAATAATAAAAGGTGAGTAGCAGACGCCTAGAAGTCGATCGCTGTCTTCACGGGTGCGCCCATGCAGAACACGCACGTATGTCATTAACGATTTTTACAACAAAAACCAGAGAGTGCACAGAGTGTGCGTATCAACTACAGGGGAACTGCTGCTGCTGCTGGTAGTGGTGGTGGTGAGTGGGCAGCACAGCATCAAAGCCGCACTGCACTTGCTCCTACGCGGCCCATCGATTCTCACTCTCTATCGAACAGCGAAACGAAAAACGCCGGCGAAAGTCGAGGTAACCTTCGATTGGATAATCGGCAGTGCACAGCACCGTGGCGCCACACAGTGGCCGAAAGTATTCTGAAAGGATCGTATTTGTATACGGTCGATCGTCAACCGCCTCGCAAGTGTGAGAGAAACGCCAAATCGTGAGAATAAAAAAAAAGAGAACGGACGCGAGAGGGGTGAGAAAAAAAACCGTTCGCCACGATTTCTCCGAGCGTTACCGCCGAAAAAACACAAGCCGCTAGAGCGAGACGCACACACGGACACGACCGCCGAGAATCATCGCTACTCACCTACACGTATACAACAAACACACGCATGCACGCACGCACACACACACACGCACACACACACGCACACATGAGCGAACGAACGAGCGAATGAACGAACGACCCGACTGACCCCCCCTCCCCATCTACGTATGGCGACACAACCCCGCCCGCCCCGCCCGCCCCGCCCTCCCCCGTTACAACACACGCGATGGTGACTACATGACTCCTGCAAGGCATGCAAAGTTTTAGAGAGAGAAAAAAAACGACAAGAGAAGGCCAGCAAGAGGTATATAGGAGCTAGTGGCTCTTCGTATATATATATACCGTCACAGGAGCCAGCTGTTATACACAAACCGCACTCGGCGCATGCACAACGTACCGGTCGACAGGGGGGCGGGGTGTCAGAATGCATATAGACTGACACACAGACTGTCATCCCCCGCAGTTAGACGCAGCGCGAAGAACCGACGGCGCCCGTCTAACGGCGGCGCCACCTGGGTAGCATCGCGCGTCATTGCCCGAACGAACATCCCCCCCCCAATCGGACGCGCGCACGCCGCCAGGTGGCGTCGCCGGCGTTGGTCCTTCGCCGGCCGATGTTAAGAACAAGAGGCGGCGGCGGCGACTGGTGGGGCACTTACCGGGGAACTGGTAGGCGAATCCAGGGTTGATCGGGTAACCGCGGCCCGCGTAGGCGGCGTACGCTCCCATCATGCTTGCCGGGAAGTATCCGTTCAGTCCGGCCGTCAGCGAGATCGACTCTGTATGAGAGAGAGAGAGAGAGAGAGAATGAGGGTGTGTGTGTGTGTGGGGGGAGGAGGAGAGAGAGAGGAGAGAGAGAG